ATTTCCCACACATAAGGTGTAATGTGTTTAAAGTGCCTATTGCCATACCTGCCGAATGGTAAGCACTCCATAAATGCTAACTCTGACATATGTATGTATTAAACCTTTACGATCTAGATTGTTCGCGTTATTTTTTGTGCTTGGGCTTGTGTTGCTGCCTGCTAGGGTGTAGCTCTGTGCATCGTTCGGTATGATTCTGCTGTCTCCTAGGGTCACAGGAGTGTTGTGTTCTGGGGTGGGCTCCTCCGCTAGTTTTCCAGCTCATCTCCGAAGGTCTGTACAGCCGGTCCCCGAAGTTGTCAGTGCCAGGAGTGGTCTGTGCGCAGTGGGCACCCAGCAAACGCTGCTGGCTGCCGGCGGATTGATTTACTCCCACCTCCCTCCATCCCGTTAGGACACCCATCACTGCAAATAGAAGGACCTCCTTGTCTACATCTCCTCCACCCAGAACAGTCTCCCACATCTCCCTGCATCAGTGACTCTCATTTCAGCCTTTCTTCCCGTCGTTCCTGGATCCAACCCCTTTCCACCCCCAAACTATCATTTCAACTCAGTGTACACATTACTTAGTTTTGGAAAATGTTTCCCCTTTGCTGCCCTGTCGGAATTCGCTGTACCCATTTCTATGGAGCCTCCCAGGATAAATGAGACAATGGCTCCAAGAGCCCCTTGTAAGAAGCAAAGGGCCCCACGCGGACTGTCAGGAAACAACACACACTTTAGACCAGCAGCTGAGTCTCCAGGAAAGAACGCTTCCTCAGCGCGTCTTCCCTGTGAAGCTGTGGGGGTGCGTGTGTTTAAAGGCCTTCCCTGACGATGGGGGGCTGGGGTGGATGAAGCTGGGCATCTGGGTGAGACTCACATGCTGAGGCAGGTCTCGGGAGCCGATGAATTCACAGTCCTCTGCCCGCTTTCGCTTCAGCCTCAGTCTAGGAATAGACACCTGGTTTGAGCAAAAGGAAGGAAGTTCAAAAGAGGTAAAGCAAACTTCTATGCAAACCGTTCTCCCTAGAGCACCAAGCAGGTAGTGCTAAGAGCGAAGGTAACTCACAGCCTCTGGGCGGGTGCTGAGCGGAGCACCAAGGTTAGCGCCTACTTACCCACCTGCCGCTTTTTTATTCATACGAGTCTGGGTTAATTGCAGGATTTCATTGTATTTTCATACATGTAATAATCTAGTTTACCCTGTAAAGGATTCATCTACAATGCAATTAAACAGCCAAGGAGAACAAAATATTAAAATAAGCATGTGTTTAAATAAGATACAATATGTGCAATTAGACATAACACACTCCTGTATCTCAGTGTTTGATTTGCACAATACAAACAGGTCATTTGAGGCCAAGCGGAAACCAGTGGTGAGATGACCTTTAAGCTCCTGCCCAGTGGGAGAGTCCATGATTTTGTGATCTGAGTGAAAAATGAAAACTTCAGAGCACCATGCAGATGTTTACAAGAATCCAGCTGTTTGATGTCAGGTGGACAAGACACCCAGACAACGGACAAAGGCATTCCACTTTCATCCAGATGTTGTTGCACGGTGCTGACTTAGCCTGACACACAGCAGCGTTAAGTGACTTATTCCAGGTGGTGAGAATCTCTGACTCTCCTGGCAGTGGACTTGTTTGGAGGTTTGTCATTTTAGGATCAGTGGCACGGATACTAACAGCTCCTGCCCCACTGACAGCCTCTGGGTCCGTGAGATGACATAGTCAATCAGTTCTCTCCATTCTCCAGCTCTTTGCTCCCCTCTCACTCCCCTCCTCCCCGGCTAAGGTCTGCGTTAACCTGGACTCTGGCCCAAGACAAGGTGGGCTCCTCCGTCACAGGCTGTGCACTGCGGCCCTTGTCTTTGCAGCCGCTTCTGTTCACGGTGATCACTGTCTCTGGTGCATCATTATCGGGGTGGCTATACTGGCGGTGGACTTATTTGGAGGTTTGTCATTTTGGGATCAGTAGCACCGATACTAACAGCTCCTGCCCTACTGACAGCCTCTGGGTCCGTGAGATGAAATAATAGTCAATCAGTTCTCTCCATTCTCCAGCTCTTCGCTCCCCTCTCACTCTCCTCCTCCCCGGCTAAGGTCTGCATTAACCTGGACTCTGGCCCAAGACAAGGTGGGCTCCTCCGTCACAGGCTGTGCACTGCGGCCCTTGTCTTTGCAGCCGCTTCTGTTCACGGTGATCACTGTCTCTGGTGCATCATTATCGGGGCCACATGCTGGTCAGATCAACCGTCTGGGCATTTTAAAGGTTGATTGCAGGATAGACCAGCCGCCAGTCACCCTCCCATGATCAGGCTGCAGAGGACCACTCATCTACATGTGGCTGTGGTGCACGGGCCTGGCTGAGGTGACGGATGCTGGTGAAAAGTTCTGTCCACATCCATAAACCGCACCGCTGCCCTTGATCTGCAGCTGCAGCTTCTGTATGCAGAGCCCGGTGCTGTTTGCAGATCAGCCTCTTGGACTCAGCTTCTTCTGGTTGCCTTGACGCCCAGTGAATTTCCCAGGGCTTGATCAGGCCCATTCCAGGCGCATCTGGTGCCTCTCATGCCCAGATGTCTCAAGCTTGACCATTGGGATTGAAATCGTGCTTCTGCAGCATCTTCCTCTGCAGCCTTTCCTGGCTTCTTTTCCTCCAGCCCCTGTGCCCGCGCCTCCTTTACCATTGCCTCCCTCCAGCTTTTGCTGCTCACGCCCTGCCTGGGTCTGCATAGTGTGGCCTTGGCTGCACTATAAAGGCTGGTTCTAGACCAAACTCCCTACGTGACCTTGAGCAAGACACACCGCCTCCCTGGGCCTCATTGTCCTTATCTTAACATGAGAGCGTTGGCCTGAATCAGGCCTGAGCTCCCTGCCGTTCTAAAATTACATCATCTCTCTAATACTGTAGACTGGCTGCCTTCCAAGGGCTCACTGCTCACATTCTGCCTGGTTCTGCAGGATTTAGGGAGGGAGAGTGAGAAATATTAGGTTCTTGGGCAAACACCGTGAAAAATTATAAATGCATCTGCTACCTTCTCATCTTCATGAGCCCCCTCTTATGTGTGGAATTGAAAACTCAGAGACCTAAACATAGCCATTATGAGAGTTTTGTCACTTCCCTGAATTGCACAGCAAAAACAGAGAAGGGTGCAGGGAAGCTTAGCTTCCTGAGTGCTAGGCAAGCATTGCTCCTTCTGGACCCAGGATGGGGGTGCCTGTGGAGAGAGGCTCTGAACAGGCCAGAGGAAAGGGAGTGAGAGGAGAATGGAGGAAGAGAGGCCTATAGAGACTGAGGGAAGGTGCCTGCGTTGGGGGACGGGGTGGGGATGGGGAAGGGGGCGGAGGAGTGCACAACTGAGCATCCAATCAGCACTTGGTGCTAATTCCAAACAAACATAGCACTTAAACAAAAAGTAAGTTAGCATATGCACAGTGTGCGGAGGCCTCCAGTGTTGAGCCTTCCAGACCAATCATCTGTGATAGGAAGGCCTCCCTATTCCTGGCATGGACGGTCCAGGGCACATCAGGTTCAGTGTGTTCCCTCATTTGTTTCTACAGGTAACTGCAGGTTAATGAGCTCCCAGGGCAGTGTTTTAGAGGTTCAAGGGGTGTTAGTCTAAGGAGGGGCGCCAACGTAGAGAGGAGGGCATTCTCCACCTTATCCTTATGGGAGGGAACCAGTGGAATCTTTGCTGTTGTGGTTGGGATTATTTTTATAATTTAAAACCACCAGCTGATATAGTGATTGACTTTTCTACAACTTTATCTTATCCTAGTGGTTATTAAAAAATCACTTGAGCCCAATGTGGCTGAGTGGTTGAATGTTGACCTATGAAACAGGAGGTCACAGTTTGATTCCCAGTCAGGGCACATGTCCAGGTTGTGGTTTCAATCCCTGTGGAGAGCGGCTACAGTGTTTGGACAGGTTCAAGCCTCGGACTAATGAGAGAGCATGATCCTCTCGTGGCAAAGGACGTGCAAGTCCCAGCACAATTGTAGCCAAAGGTTATAGTTGTAAGCTTGAACTTATGGTACGAACCTGTGGTCCCAGGAGGCTGAGTGATGTGAGCTTGATAGAGTTCAGGTGCATGTAATTGAGTAGATTCGAAATCCACAAGAACATTGTAAACATCTTGATCACACCCTTTTTTGCCTCATGGAATCTGGCTATAAAATAAAGACTTGGCTTGCAGGCCGTGGCACTGTCTCTCTAATCAGAGGGCAGCGTCCTACCTAGCCCCAGCTTTATTCTCTGGTCTGTCTTTTCTAATCCTTCACTGCCCCCTCCTCCTCCCTCAGGTTCACCCATGGCCATGCTGGCACAGCACATATGGTGCCCAAATAGGGACCTGAGCGTCCCAAATTGCCTCTATTTCTTGTATATTTAAGGCCTGTCACCTATGTCGAGGTGTGGGGGGTTCCCATATAGGTGCTGCTCCTAAGTGGGACGTGCACAGGTGGTCTGGGCCATCCCCTTGAGGCTGTGCCAATACCTTCTGGTCAGACACTTTCACAGAGACAGCACCGAGATCTGAGCCGAGCCGGAGAAATGACACACAGACAAACAGGTTAGATGCAAGCGTGCTAGGGGGAGGGACTGAGACATGGAAAACTTACTGAATGTGTTGGGGGTAGGGACTGCTCTCTAATCAGAGGGCAGCGTCCTACCTAGCCCCAGCTTTATTCTCTTGTCTGTCTTTTCTAATCCTTCACCGCCCCCTCCTCCTCCTTCAGGTTCACCCATGGCCATGCTGGTGTGGCACATATGGTGCCCAAATAGGGACCTGAGTGTCCCAAATTGCCTCTATTTCTTGTATATTTAAGGCCCGTCACCTATGTCGAGGTGCGGGGGGTTCCCATATAGGTGCTGCTCCTAAGTGGGACGTGCACAGGTGGTCTGGACCATCCCCTTGAGGCTGTGCCAATACCTTCTGGTCAGACACTTTCACAGAGACAGCACCGAGATCTGAGCCGAGCCGGAGAAATGACACACAAACAGGTTAGATGCAAGCACACAGGGGGTTTATTTACCAGTTCCTGAAGGGTCTCAGGCGCTGGGAAGGATCCACCCGGCGATGCTCGCTGACACACACAAAGGGGTAGACGGCGCCATTGGCTGCTGGCTCTTTCGTCGATCGACAGTTAATTGGGCAGAGTTTCGTGCTGGGAACCGAGACGTGAGCACACACAGACCCTCACGCTCTGGCGACAGGAGAGCTATGCGCTGGAGTGCGACATGCTGCTGGGTCGATCAGACTGTCTGGTTATATACCCCTCTGTAGGCGTGGTCTTCGTTGGTGTGTGTGTTATCAGCGGCTGCCATACGTGGATCCACCCGGGGTCTGTTAATCTATGGGTGTGTACAGGCTTTGGGCGTTCCCATCAGATAGGTTGTTTACCAGTACTAGTGGGGTTACAAGGGTGCATTTTTGGGTCTCACACAGTATTCCTATATCTAACATTAGGTACTATCATAATTACTATAACAGTCCACACAGGGTTACATGCTTTAAGTCTTACATTCTAAGGTCCTAACATTAAGGACCATAATGATTACTATAACACTGAGTATGGGGGAATTGTGATTGTGGGGTGAAAGGATGCTCCCATGAGGCATGTGCAGAAAGCGAAAGTAGGATAGGGAGCAAGGTTTGGTAGCAGCTAGGTGTAAAACATGGGAAATTCAGGATCTCAGGAAAGGGATCTTTAAGACAATGTTCAATGAAGCATTTTTAAATTTCTTAAGTTTTGTCTAAGGACTGTCTGCTGTGGTCTGTGGTTGATGATCTAAAACATGGGAAATTAAGACGGTCCAAATCTGAGGACTATAAAGAAAAACCAGACCCTCCAGAAGGAAATCCAGGGGCACCAGCCTCGCATCAACGACATCTTCGCATCGGCAGCATCTTTCAGAGGAGCCAGAGCATCGTCACCGACAGCAGCAGCCTGAATGCCGAAGCCATCCTGCAGAGGCTCGCTGACCTGTGGCAGCTGTGGGGCCTCCTCATTGAGGAGACAGAGAAGCGGCACCGGTGGCTGGAGGAGGTGCCGGGGACCCAGAGAAGCTCCTTGTCCCTCTGTTCAAAAGACTGAGCGTTGCCCTGATGATAGTGATGCCAAAGAAGAAGATAATGAAGGCTAAGCAAGGGACCGAGGCGACAACATGGGGTCAGCTGAAGAAGCTACCGACTGAGGCCCAGCAGATGGTAGAAAAGCAAGAAGTGGAAGCTACTCCCTCAACCATGTTTCTGGCTATGCTAGCGTTGGTGAGCTGCCAGTTTTCTGTAAAGTCTTGCACAGCCAAATCTGAGGACTCTGAGTAAGATATACTCCAGCAGCAAAAGAAACTTTCATTTTGTAGAAATAAGTCCTGAAAATGTTAACATGTCTGTAGTTTGGTTTTTCTCTTATTGCTGTGCTGCATTGGCATTGTTTTGTTATTGTTTTAGTAATAGCCAGAGTTTTGTTCTCTCTTGTTACTGTATTACATTAACATCACTGTGTTGGTTGTTTTGTTAATAGCCAGAAGTTTGTTCTTGATGTTTTGGTTATGCTGCATAATTTGCCTAGAGCTTTTGATGATGTAAATGAAAGTGTTTAAAAACAGAAAAAAAGGGGGAGATGTGAAGAGCAGCTACAGCATTTGAACAGGTTCAAGCTTCAGACTAATGAGAGGGCATGATCCTCTGGTGGCAAAGCCAAAGGCTATAGTTGTAAGCTTGACCTTATGGTCCGAACTGTGGTCCCAGGAGGCCGAGTGATGGCAGTTGATAGAGTTCAGGTGCATGTAATTGAGTAAGATTTGAAACCTGTGAGAATATTGTAAACATCTTGATCACACCCTTATTTTGCCTTGTGGAATCCAGCTATAAAATAAAGACTTGGCTTGCAGGCCGTGGCACCGTCTCTCTAATCAGAGGACAGCGTCCCACCTAACCCCAACTTTATTCTCTTCTCTGTCTTTTCTAATCCTTCACCGACCCCCGTCAGGTTCACCCATGGCTGTGCTGATGTGCCACAAATCCCCAGTAGGGGGTGTGCAGAAGGCAGCTGATCAATGATTCTCTCTTGTCACTGATGTTTCTATCTCTCTCCCTTTCCCTTCCTCTCTGAAATAAAAAACCAAAACATATTTTTTAAAAAATCACTTGAGATTATTATTGTTGATTTTGGCCTCTAAACTCAGGAATGTTTCTGAAGAAGCAATTTTATTTCTAAATTATATAATAAGATATCAAGTGTGTGTGTGTTGTGTAAGGTTAACACAGGTGAGAAGGGACACCCACCTCTGTTTGGAGCTGCCCAGAGGCATGATCCTGCCTTGGTGAGATGGGCTGTTGTCAAGGGAAAACTGATTCACGGGCCTGCTCACCAGCAACTCCTTTGCCCTCACCTGTCTGCCTGTGTTTCTCTTCCTTCCTTTTCTGATATCCTTTTAAATGCTTCTCCCCTGTAATCCATTGGTTGAGTTTGCTTTAAAACTCTTTCAGCATTCAATTCTTCTTTAAATCAACTTTCTACTCCCAAAGTTTCTGGAAAGCAAGAGGGACTGTCAGAGTGTTTGGAACCAAGATGTTAATACTCAGTGACAAGACAGTCACTAAGATTCCTTAGGATGGGAAATTCCTTGGACTGGATCAGAGATGAGCTGTAGGTAGGAAGAGGTGAGTGGAAGGCCTTGGCAGCAGCTGCTGATCAAGCCAAGGTGAAGACAGAACTGACAGAGATGATTTGAAAGACAACCTGAGTGGCTCCTGGATCAGAAAGGAGCCTCCAAGTGAGAGAACATGGGGCAGGTCTCAGCTGGAGGCGCTTGATGGTCCTTTGATGCATCATCACCTCTTCACTGTTGAGGAGATGGTGGGTCCAGAAAGAAGATGAGGAATCTGGAAAAGTGGGGGCAATCAACCATGCACAATGTTTTTATTGTGTGTTGTGGGGGGGGGGGTTGTTCTGCAATTTTACAGCTTTCGAAGTACAATCACAGATACTATCTCATGTAATTTCCACAATTACCCAGTATAACTGAGTAGTTATAATTAACTCTATTTTGCAGTTCATTAATTCATTCAATATATTCTGAGAGTCTTTTATGCACAAGGCGCTATGCTAGATGCTCAAGCTACTACAACAGACAAGACTACATCAACAGTTGAAAAGTTATTGCAGTGGAGTGTGATTGGTTATGGTTGGGGGAAATAAGGGTGTCAGCAGGAAGACATAATCTGGTCTAGGGAAGTATTTTCAAAAGGAGTGACATTTAAATTAGAACTGAATGGTAGGTAAATAAGGTTGAGCTAGGCGAGGAACAAGGGTTGAAAAATGTACACTTTATGAAAGACCCAGAGACAGGAAAGAGAAGGAAAGCAAGTTGGCTTGGCTCATTCTGGGAACTGCACTAGGATGATCACAGCTATGTAAGGAATGTCAGGGGGTGAATCAGAAGAAATGAGGCCTGAAGAGAGGCAGCAACCAAGCCTTGAAGGACCCTGGAAGCCATGTGAAGGAGGATGAATGAGATATCAAAAGATGACACTGAGTTTTCTCACTTGGGCAGTTGGTGGGTAGCCATGTGATTTTACTGAGGAAGGGAGTCTGAGAGGAAGAACAGGTTTTAAGAAAAAGATGACACACCATGCTTACAACATCCTGCGTTGCTGTCTCCTGGGCAGTTGCAGAAAAGGTCTGGAGCTCAGGAGAGGAGCATGGGCTGAGATGGCAGTGTGGTGGTATTTCCATATGGTTAGTTATTGAAGACAAAGACATGATGACATCGTCCAAGGAGAATAGACACAGAGAGGAGAAACGGCCCAGGATGGAGCATCAAGGAATTCCAAAAGGAGAGAGAGCAGTCGAGGAAGAGAGCCTATAAAGGTGGTTGAGAAGTATATTATTTCTGTTGAGAAAATATGCATTGGAATCAGACAACTCTGGCCATATATTTCTGGGCAAGTTATACCTCTCTGAACCTTGGTTTCTTCCTCTTCAATGGGGCAATATTAATTCCTACACTATAGAACAGTACCTGGAAAGTTTAGCACATCCTGGCACAAAGTAGGCATCAATTAGTTCTAGTTATTATGTTAATTATTTTAATGAAAATAAGAATAATGACAGAGGACGAAGCTAGAGAAATCAGAAGAATATCAGATGAAGACGATGTCATGAAAGCTGAAGGAAGAGTGTTTAGGAAAAGGTGGTCAATAAGGACAAATGTGTTGAGGTCAAAATGAAAAGGCTAAACATGGTCCACTGGGTTTAGCTGTGGGTAGGACACTCATGACCTTTGCAAGATACGTTTCAGTAGGTGGTTCGAGAGGTGAAAGACCTGGAGAGTGTAATTGTGGGAGAAAGGGATGCTCTGAAGAGTCTGGTGCCTTAGCCAAGGCTTTGTGGCCTACAAACTCTGTGATCATATAGTGACCAAAACTTAGAACGTGAGACTCCAAATTTGGTTTTCTTTCCATCTGTAGGCCCCAAGAAGGAGATTTGCCAAGTAAACATGACTCCATGATTTGTGCCAAGTTGACGGAGAAGAGGAAGGAATGAAAAAACAAGAAAGGACGGGGCAGAGAAATGGGAGGATCCAGCAAGAGGGGTAGTTAGGCAGACCCATTCCCTGGAAGGGGAGGAAATCGGATATAAAATCAACAAATATTTATTGAATGCCTATCACATGTCATGAATGTGGGAACTGTTGATGAAACAGAGACATAAGATGTGATTCCTGTTTCTAGGAACAAAACATAAACAGGTGACAGATTTAAGGGCTAAACAGTTGTTAAAAGCAACCACAGAAGAGCTGTCACAGAGCAGTATATGCTTTACTTCAAAGGAACTGTAATACAATGAATGGACCAGCTTCCTCAGGCTTTGCCATGGAAGCTCACCAGTGGAGGTGCAATTCCCACTGCATTTCATGCTGGTGAACTGATCCTGTTTAGCAGGGGCAGGAACTGAGGTCTCTGGGATTTGTGTGGAGAGAATGGGCCTGGGAGAGAAGAGCAAGAAAATGGTCTTTGTGGGGCAAGGCCCAGAACTAGTGGCTGTCCCGTAACTGGGCTGTAGGGATGAGAGCGTTGTTCTCCACCTGGCTGAGTGTGTGTGTGTGTGTGTGTGTGTGTGTGTGTGTGTGTGTGTGTGTGAATGAGACCAAGAGACAAAGAAAGACAGACAAACACAGACACACAGACAGATATAAGATGATGAGACCTCACTCGGTGGGTGTGGCTCAGTGGTTGAGCGTTGACCTATGAAGCCAGAGGTCACAGTTCGATTCCTGGTCTGGGCACATGTCTGGGTTTCGGGCTTCATCCCCAAAGGGGGTGTGCAGGAGGCAGCTGATTTATGTTTCTCTCATCAATGTTTCTCTCTCCCTCTCCTTTCCTCTCTCTCTAAAAATCAATAAAAATATATTTTTTAAAGATGAGATTAAAAAAAGAACAAGGAATACCTGGCATATAGTGGGTACTATGGAACAGAAAATCCAAGGAGACAAAATCCAAAGTATGCAGGAAAAGCTGAAAATGTATTGGGAAACTTGAGTCAAACTCAATGCTGATAATTTTCACCTGTATAAAATTTAGACAAGTTAACTTTTCTGGGCTCCACTTTCTTTGCCAAAAAGACAGGGATAGCAACACCTTTTACCAGGCTGTTATGATACACACACACACACACACACACACACACACACACACACACACACACTAGAGGCCCGATGCACAAAATTCATGCAAGAGTAGGCCTTCCTTCCCCCAGCTGCCGGCACGGGCTTCCCTTGCAGAGGGAGGCCCTGCCCACCCGCCACAGCTCACCAGTTGGTGGCCTGGGCCTCCCTCTGCAGGGCGATCATGGGGTCATGGCCCAGCCCCGGACCAATGGCATCCCACCCACCTTGACTGGCCTCCTGCCAGTGGGTGTCATAGTGTGGTCCGGATGGTTGTCTGGATAGTCATTCTGCTGTCCGGTGGTTCAGTAGATTTGCATATTATGCTTTTATTATATAGGATATTATACAGATATATTTTTAATATGCAGCACACAGTCTGGTCCAAAGTCGATGCTCCATAATTATCAGTTGTCAATGACAGTTCAAGGTGCTTACAGAGGGTCACCTTTTGCTGAAGTTCAGACGCTTTTTAAATATTAGACTGTAGAGCCTGATAAGATGTTGGAAAAGTGGATAACAAATACTATCAACCCTCTTTTATGCCTGGAGGACCTTGGCACTGAGGACACGAGCTTTGCCAGAGGAATAAGCAATTCTGTGGGAGGATGGGGAAAGGAGGAGCAGGAAGCAAGGCCTCAACAAAGATCTTGAACACTGGCCTTCCTGCCCTGCAGCCCGGCAGCCAGCCCGCCCCCGCCAAGGGGGTGGGGGTGTGGGGTTGGGATCAGGTTACATGCCTCTCCCCTGCCCAACTCCGGCCCTGGCTGAGGAGTTTGCATGAAGACAGGAACTCTGGGCCTTCACTTCTCACCATTCAGACAGAACTAGGAGGACGAGCTCTGATCAGGCCCGGCCCTGGCTCCTGAGCACTCCCCTGGGCAGCCTTTCCCACCTCCTCCCGACAGCCTGGTCATAGGGCGCTTTGGTGAAATTTTCTCCACCAGGATATTCCTGCGGCTGAGTTGCTTCGGTTGCTAGGGGCCCTTAGGGACCCAGCCAGGAGGAGCTCGCCACCTGTCCTCGGGCACAGCCACCAGGGGGCACACCTGCTGTCAGGGCTGACTTCGCAGTGGCCTGTGTCAGGAGGGGAGAACACGCAGGAATTGAGGTGCTGGCATTACACACACGTATGCATGTGGTGGTGCCTCAGAAAGGCCCAGCACGGAGTACAGGCCTAGAGTATGAAGGCAGAGAGGCTCTCCAGGGCGCTCCGTCACAATTGGTGCTCAGCAGTGGTGGTTGAATTCAGAAAAAACAGAACCAAAGCAGCCGCGAGCATGGGTCAAATGCTGGGTTTCTAGGACTGAGACTTGGAACGAGTCATCTTGCAGTCCCCCTGGGCCTTGGTTAAGCCCTTACTTAATCAACAAGAATTTATCTGTTTACATTTTAAACCTCCAAAAAGTAGGAAACAGGCCCCCTCCCCCTCCCTTAGAACTGGATACCTAATGTCTTATCAGAGTCTTCCCTCCTGCAGGGAGCAAGCTCGCTTCCTCTGGATCTGCCCTCAAACCAGATGGAGAGGGACACGTGCTGGCCTTTTTAGGGAGGCCCCCATACAGGTGTACATGTGATAAGCGTGCCTTGACCTTTCTTCTTCATATGGTGCCTCAGGTCCTTTCGTATTTGTCAGGGATCTTACTATCTGTTGACATGGACCTGTTGTCACCACCATAACTTCTCAAGGAATACGCACCTGGAAGGAGGGGAGACGGGAATGCGCTTGTCTTTCTCACACCAGCTCAGGATGAACAGCAGTGGCTAAGCTCATAGAGCTCTTTAACAGGAGCCAGGACTGCACGTGCATTATCTCACCTTACCGTTCAGCAGCCCTCTCGTGGTGGGCAGTTACAGAGACAGGACAGAGCAAGGAGGATGGGCCAGGTCAGAGGTCCCCAGGGCAGAAAGCCCTGGTGCCTAGCAGAGGCAGAACTGGGAAAGCAAGGGTCTCACCCTCAGGAAGCCTTTCCTTCCCTAGCATGTCGCTGGGCATGAGGGTTAGACCCCTGACCTTTCATATCGCTGGTCATGCGGTTTAGACCCCTGACCTTTCATGTCGCTGGTCATGCGATTTAGACCCCTGACCTTTCATGTCGCTGGTCATGCGGTTTAGACCCCTGACCTTTCACATCATTGGTCATGTGGATTAGACCCCTGACCTTTCACATCATTGGTCATGTGGGTTAGACCCCTGACCTTTCATATCGCTGGTCATGCGGTTTAGACCCTGCAAAGGGGGAACGAACAAAGGGGCCAAAGAATAGCCCTTAAGCATGAAGCCCCCAGGACAATGAGGTTCTGACCTACATCAGATACATCTAGGCCTCAGTTGTATTTCAGCTCCAGGCCCAGACAAGCAGCAAAACCAGACAAGGGACTCCATAGCCGACCTCAGGACCAGCTGCATAGACTACTGACCCCCTGCCCTGGCACATGACCCTGACAGGACACACCCGGACATCTGATGCTATTCTATTGAGATCCTGGCCTGGGACCGCCCCTAAAATCTCCACCCTTTTTTTTAGGACAGAGGACCCAGCATACGCTCTCCCTCCTCTCAGGAGTACGACCTCGCCTTCCCCATTCTCTCTCTTCTTGGGCCATTATCTTTACCCCTCCCTCTCTTAAGCTCTACAGACCCTTTCTTTTGCCTCTGTAACTTGTTTCCTGAGCCCATTTTTTCTACCGCAAACTCCTTCTACCTCTGTGACTTCCTAAATAAACGTTCTCTTTAGTTTGAGTCTTGGCTCTGAATTCTTTCGAAACCAGAACTCAAGTACAGAGGTTGCTGAACCCAGGTTCGGTTTGACTCCACTGGTCTAACACCTGGTGCTGTTCTTGCCAGCCACACTATGAGGAAGGTCCTAATATTATTTCCAAATTACTGAGAAGGTAAACAAGGCCCAGAGAGGTTGCGGGATTTGGCCGAGGTCACATGACAGAGTTGCAGGGCCTAGATTGGAAGTTGCAGCACATGATGCCAGAACTGGCAGAAGCCTCAGTACCTGTGTCTGTATGTCATACTCCCCCCCCACACTCCCACTGGCTATTGGTCATGAACTATGCTTTTAAGCCTAGATTGGAACTTGCAGCACATGATGCCAGAACCGGCAGAAGCCTGTACCTGTGTCTGTATGTCATGCTTCCCCCCGACACTCCCACTGGCTATTGGTCATGAACTATGCTTTTACTTTCTTTTCTGCTATTCCGCATGGCATGGCATGGCATCAATTTTTTCCATCTGTGAGTGAGCATTTTCTATTTCCTCTACAAGTTATCTCCTTCACACGTTCATTTTGTTCAACAAATATGTCTTGGTTACCTACTGCGGGCAGGTTCTATGGTACCAGCCGTTGGCGTTCCAGTGGCATCTTCCAGAGGCCTGGTGGCCTTGTTTTGCTGTCCTTCATGTCTCATCTTTCACTCTATCTTGCCTTATTTCATAGGAAATAAGGCTAAGAAGAATTTTCAGGATTTACCATAGAAAGATTCTCAAAAATTATTCGTCAACCACTCACCTTTTCCCATGAAGACCCAAGACTGCAGAGGTAGTACGTGGTGGTCTTGTTCTGGTTAAACCTTGTCCTCTCCTCTCCATTCCTTGCTCTAACCTTAGCACCAGGTGTGTCACACAGGTCATATTACTTGGCCATCTGTATCAATCTGTGATTCAAACTTTTTAGTCTGTAAATGGGACCAGAGCCTCTTAGGGGTCTAGTAAAGACTAAATGAGTTAATACGTGTAAAGAGCTTAGATTAGTGGGTAAATTAATGAAGTTAGCTCATTTTTTAAAAATTCCACTTTCTGGTGCTCCCCCTCCCAAGAGCACACCCGCACCTCCCCCTCTCCTCTTCCCCCACAGGCGAGCATCTCCTAAGCTCTAAGGGACCCCATGAGGCTTGTAACCAGGGCAGCAATGGGCAGCGGCAGTTCATCCCAGGCAAACCCCCTGACCCTGTCCCAAGGCCCCCTTTTTTCTGACGTCTTAGTGAGCAAAGCAGCCCAGTCCGGGCTCATTTCCCAGCCCTTCCTGTTTCATTGTCCCCAGCTTTAATAAATGTTCCCTAAAATTAAAAAAATTCCATTTTCACATATTTCATATAAGCCAGTGTTTCTAAGTACTTGTCAAATTAAACATTTTGTTCTAAACATGAACTTAAAATATGAACTTCCTCAATGGATCTTATGCTGCAATGAGTGAGCTAATTGAAGATATTAGGCATAACTTAAAAGCACTGTCCCCCACCTTGGCAAGGTCAGGCTGCGCCTTTTCCTTTGCTTCCACATACCCTGAACACTGGGCATTCAGTGCTTCCCCTCCTACTACACTGTGGGAAGCTGAGGGCATAGCCTAGTCCTGTTTACCTGTTTCATTGTCAGCTCTAAGCGCTTAGTAGCTGCACAAGGTAGGCATTCAGCACAGATTTGTTGTTGACTGACTGACCTAATGTAGCATCTGCATATTCATGTTTTCCCCTTCCTTCCCCACCCTTCTCCCATCAACCCCAACTTCTTTGTAATATCCTATATAATAAAAGGCTAATATGTAAATTAACCAGTCGCTATGATATGCACTGACCACCAGGGGACAGATGCTTAATGCAGGAGCTGCCTCCTGGTGGTCAGTGCGCTCCCACAGGGGGAACACCGCTCAGCCAGAAGCCGGGCTCATGGTTGGCGAGTGCAGCAGTGGTGGTGGGAGCCTCTCCCACCTCTATGGCAGTCGGACATCCCCCGAGGGCTCCTGGACTGAGAGAGAGCACAGGCAGAGCTGAGGGACACCCCCCCTCCCAGTGCACAAATTTCGTGCACTAGGCTTCTAGTGTGTGTGTGTGTGTGTGTGTGTGTGTGTGTGTGTATTTTTTTTTTTCTGGCCTGACTTTTTGTT